CTGGTAGATACTGATGAGGACACGGGTTGCCTCACTACACTCGGCTGTCATTTCACTCTAATATCACCTGTTATTCAACTCATATGTGGTTCCACAGAGCTGTGCATGGCGCAGCGATTACACTTAGATGCCTGCTTTTGTTTGTTAACGAGAGGGGGTAGTTTGGTGTTCACGCGGGAGGCAAATATGCGTGTTCGGGCACGCGTAGGCGACACGTACTGTGGAGTCAAATATCGTGTTCAAGTCTTTCTGGTAGCGTCTGCATCCTTTCCTGCGGTTTAAACTGTTAGGACGGCCTAACGAACAACCTCAGCAAGTAGCCGCGCCCACAGTAGGCTATTGGTCGGCCTACACGCGAGCGAACGCATCGTGCAGTCAATCAATCGATAACTTTAACTTCAAACTACAGTCAGCCGTTGAGTCACTAGCCAACCCTACCGGCGACTATTTCAGGAGAGGAGCTGATTGGCTCAATGGACATCGTGTTACACGGTTTGTTGTCCTAAATAAGTTGTACCTATTACACTCAAAGACTTCTGCTGTTGCACACTTCTTGTCGTGTTCTTCCTCTGGGGACTCACACGAGGCGTTATTGGGCGTTGATATCTTGGCCTGGGCTTCCGTTACAACAGAATCATGACGAGCAGTTGAGACGGCGTGTGAGGTAGCTGGTATGCAATCCTTCCGCACAGGAATCCAATTCACTTTTCAGTCTGAGCTCCCTTTTGAAGTGCTGGCTGCTCTTTTCATGTTCTCGATTATCCTTTTCACACCGACCCCTAATAAATTAGCTTGCCTTACATGTTTGACATGTCGCCTGATGCCGTATTCTACTTTCCCATGTACTCTTTGCCTGATATGCTTCTTCCTCTAACCCTCCTAGTCCCCGACATGTGTCTCCTCTGTTCCACTTCACGTGACAGGGTGATTCATGTGTTCGAGCCTCGTCAGAGCTATTCTCTGGTGCAGACCCTTGCCGATCACTCCGGGTCCATTACGGCGGCACGCTTCGTGGAGAACGTGGACACTAAGGAGATTTATCTCTTCTCCTGCAGCACCGACCGATCCCTCCTTTGTCGAACTCTGTCGGTGAGTCTTGCTAACAGAAGAAACTGGAGCGACGTTTTTTTTCCACATGCGTTTAGGTTTTCTAGGAACTTGCAACGGGTGTTTCTCTGTCATAATCTCGGAATAACTATCACTCAAGGTGGGGGTACGCTTACAAGTCTCCCCGCCCGTATCACTGGTGGCTTTGTGGTAAATTCTAGAAGAGGCTAGCGTTGGTGTTTAAGTTCGGGCACGGGGATAGGTGCTCCCCTGAAAGTTAGCGCAAGGTCACCTCTAGTACGTGAGGGGGAGGGTTGCTTATACGCGAGTCCAACCTCATTTGGGTGTTCTTTGTTATCTGTCGTAACTGTGATTTCTATGGTGTCACCGTTAAATAACGTCCTGTTTGGAATCCCCGAGGAAGAACACAATAAGAAGGGCGTAACTTTTGAAGCCACCCGAAGGAGGTTTTATGGTATACAAAACCCAGATTTGCTGTCTCGAGTGGCAGTTCCGCTGGCATCATCCAGAGCCTGATGTGGCCACAGTCGCTTATAAGTGATTGGCAGGCGCGTTCGCTTGTGAAGTGATTGGGCG